AGGATTCTACTTAGAAACCGATTCAATAATACATTTTCATAGTACAATTGGTTCATATTTTGCGTATAAATATGTATTTTTAAAATGGTTTGTTGAAAACTTTACAAAAAAAGTCAATATTAAAACAATTTATCTAAGATTTCTTCTACAAGGATATATATTTTTTGCTGAACCTATCAAAAACAAACGTGTCTAAAAAAAACAGTTAAGTGTTCATCAAATCTGTTATAAAACGTTAACCTTTTGTTTCATTGCCCCCTGCTTTCACTGAAAGTGGGGGATATTAATTTCGGTCTATCTGTCCGTCCGTCTAGCTGTCTGTCTGTCTGTCCGTCTGTCTGTATTGCTGCGTCTGTCTGTTACACTTTCGTTTCAGCGCAATATCTCAAGAATCCTTTGAGCTTTTGCAATGAAATTTTACATAGCAGCCTCCTATGGCCTAGAAAAGAACCCTATTGATTTTTAGGTCAAAGTGTCGAAGATCAAGGTCATAAATTCAAAATATCTGTCTCTTTTAACACTCTCGATTCCCCTCGATATCTCGAGAAGCCTTTAAGCTTTTGCAATTACATTTTATACCACAGCTCCCTATGGCCTACGAAAGACCCCTATTTATTTTTAGGTCAAAAGGTCAAGGTCGTTAATTCATGCAATTCTTTCTGTGTGTAAAAGTTACTTATCCGGGCGATATCTCAAGTAGCTTTTGAAGTTTTGCAATTAAATTGTATAGCACCACTCCCTTTGGCCCCGCCCGCCCTTCTTTATGTGACCCTCGACTCCACTGCCCCTAGATCCGCGCATGTTCTTCTTTTTTCCTTAAGTTGGCATCGACCACGCTCAAAGTCTTAGAGTTAATTACATTTAATTCAGGTTGTCAGCGGACGTCATATTTTAACAATATCTATTAGAACTGTGTAGTAAAAGGCTTTTGTTTTTGTTTTTTTGTTTGTTTGTTTGTTTGTTTGTTTTTTGTTGATATTTTTTTATTTACATGTACTAGATGGTGGTATTCAGCAAATAAATGAAGAAGTTATGACCAATTGCGTGTACAAACTTTCGCATGAAATCATTATTTCAGTGTGAAAAATATATTATTTAAAAAAGAATCTTCGTGTACACATTTTAAAGAATAAGCAGTCAAATCTATACAATGTATATCCTTATTGGCATTTTTTATTTGCTTCAGTGTATACATTTAATAATTCTGCAAATCCGGGGAAGGGGGGGGGGGGGGTTGCCCTCCCGATATGAGCATCCTCCTCCTTTTTTCCTTAATCGGGGAACATAAATTCTCTGAATTACCTTATTTATTGTATATTACTGGTTATCCTCAATATTCGGGTTAACTGGACATTGTAAATGGGTATTATTTAGAATTTTGCAATATTAAGTGAAAAAATATAAAGACACGTTATAGAACTAGCGGAGATAATTCTTTTTTTTTTCAACTGGAATGAAAATGATTCTTTCAACATTACAGAATGTAACTGAAGATATGACAGCGTCAAATTAGGAAATCCTTTATCTTTCATACAGTAATAATTTAATTCTGGTTGTAACGCCGTATTTGATTGGTTAAAAAAGTTACTTTATATCGTATAAATTGGGTTGCCTACGTCACAATGACTTGCGTCAAAAATCAAGTAATCAAAAATGGTTTTGGTCGTTATTAACCAGTTACTGTACTCGTAACTGCTGATTACTTACTTTAAAATCTGTTATAAATAGAACTGTTTTTGATAATTAATTTAACATTGTAAGGTAAATTAGATCTTTTTATATAATATTTTTTTTTTCCTTAGTAGCTACACAATGCAATGTCCATTTGCTTCACGTGATCCTGTTATCATATTTTCTGCTTCTTTTTTATGTGTTTTTTTCCCTTTTTTCTTACATTTAGTCGTGTATAACTACATGCATTTATCAAGAACATACTTCTTACATGTATGTCTGTATTAAAAGACGTGTAGTTGCTTACTTACTATCACTACCACCAACCCCTCACAATAAATTTAATATCAGGTTGTCTTCGCTGACAACAAGATAGTGAGCTATTAAAAATATTTCCCCTCATGGCATTTGAAACAAGCGTTTTATATCTGTTAATGTTAGTATCAACAGAGTAAAAGAATACGCGTCACTAGAGAGTGAAAGCAATAAGATTAATAAAGATTAAAATCAACCTCAGTTTATTAATGTATTAATTTATATCCGAATAAATTAATAGAAGTAAAAGGGTGGGAGAACGTGTGAGCTTTTCTCAAACAGAGAGAAATAGCTCTTAATATGTTGTCATTTATTTTGGCTTGTAGGTGAGATAAATAGTTTTCATCTTTAGTAACATATCAAAGGATTCAATGAAATCTAAAATTTTACTATTCCTTAACTGATCATCCATTATTGAATTTGAAAGCACAGAAAGAAAGTATGGACGAAGTTGATGTCACAATGACATAAATGGCTACATAACTGCCTTGCGATGTCAACTGTGTTATCTCCTGAGAAAAAGAGTGGACTAATGCCAAAGAACTCATTCGTTCTTTCAATTTAAAAATGCATATTTCCTCTGTTGTCATGGAAACGGCGGCAGTTTTGAATGTGACATATGTGAATGTCACATCTAGAGTTCGTGATTATCATTTCTTTGAAGACAAACACTCCCCCAGCCATCTGAGAGAACAATGGAAGACAAAGCTTTGGTCTTATAATAACAATGTGTCTGGGGTGACACATTAACAGTTTTTCTCAAACCAGCATAGGAAAATGGTTTATTATGATTAAAAGTGGACGTGGTCTTTCGGTATATCTGTTCGTTGTATGTCGTCTGTTATCTAGTACGTGTATTCTTATATTCAATTTTTTCCAAGCTATGATATATGTGAAATTTTATCGTTAGTTAGTTTGGTAATCAGTGATAGCTTAAAAACATTATAGGATAAAATTTATACAAGTAACTGTTGCTATACTTTGAAAATATTTTTTAAAAGCAGTAGAACCATGATAAATCATGTAAATAATAGTATGCTAACATGTTCAGATAGTACGTATTGAATTGGTTCATTGCATGACCGACCGTCGGGGGGTAGGTTTGGGCCACAGTATTGTTCCAAAATTGTATTTGAGAATAAAATGGGGGAAAAGATATTGAATAATTTAAAGATTATTAGGTCTAAGAAGTACCAGTGAGTTAGGTGCATAATTTAATACATATCTGATGGTGCAGGCATGGGAGGGGAGTAATAATTTCATGGGCATAAATAGAAGATGGGCGAACAAGACTAGAGAAAATACCTAGAGTGCGACATATAAAAAATAAAATAAATATTACAAATTATCTTTGATATTTCATTTATCATTTGTGTATACTTCATGTAAAATCTCCACAAATAAAAAAATGACATTCAATTAGTATATCCATACATCATAAGATGCCAAAAATTCCATTTCATTAAACATAGGAAAATAGATACCTATTTATCTTCACATTTCGATTTTTTAACAAAAAAAAAACCAAATAACTTATATACATGATTTAATTAATGAAGGCTAAGTTGCAATCTCAAAAGTTACAAAATTCACTGATGATATAGTTATGCAGTTGTACATGATTTTTAATCCATTTCTGATATATCCGTGTAATTTTTCATTGTCGTTTGATGAATGTGCATTAATATGCAATATTTTTTAATCATAAACTGATTTACATCTTCATCTGAAAATGACATCATTAGTATCATCAGTGAAGTTTGTAGCATTATCTGCAGCACCGTTTTGAATAATTATACAAATATGCCATTAATGGATACAAACTCATCCACAAACTCTAAATTTTTCAATTGGTGGATATCATTTCATAAGCGATAACAATGGAGATCTATTTGACTTCGTGTTTCCATTTTGAAAATTAAAGTGTTTATATTAGTTTGATATGAATAACCTGCTAATGAAATATCCTTGAAGGCACTTGATCAATTCAACCTGTTGCACTGGACTCTGCCCTTTTTCTGATTTCGCTAAAGGCTGCATTACTGTTTTTATACTGATATATACTTATACATGTTTTACTTAATATATTTAATTTTATTTGACATTGACTAAAAACATCACTTTTGACCGAGTCGAAACACATTTTATTATTTTCAATTGTAAAACAAAATTATATTATATTTAATTCATAACTTTACTACCTCTTAAGGCTTTACATATACTTGGAATGCCAGAGACATTTCAGTTTCTGTCAAGAGATTTGTCTTTTTTCACATTGTATTAATTGAGTGTTTGATGTTTTGCATCTGTCAAAATATCAATAGAGTTTCGACACACTACTGTTCACGAGGGAGACACCATGAAATGTATACCCTGATGTAACACAGAATATAACTGCCTATGCTTCCACAACTGCCTTGTTCATGCAATGCTATGAGCTATTGCATTTACTCAGCATGTCATTTTAAAAACTTAAAAAAATCAAAAGTGCATATTTTAAATATCAGCAAACTCCGAGACAGAGAAAATAAAAAAAAAATAAGTAGATGTAGTTATTCAGAACGGCACCAAAGTGCCATCAATATGTGCTTGATTAGCAAAGAAGACAATTGACCATTCCATTTTCTCCTTACATCTTGCCATATAGACTGTACTTTTCGGTTGGTCATATACCACAACGTCCTTATCTTGCAGCATCTAGAGTATCATAACGAACATAAGAAGACAAAAGAATGAAATATCAACCAAAAATGGTAACGCTTTAATATACAAAAGTCTTTTGTGCGGATCTAGATGCTTGTAAGAGTGTTTTACTTGATAAAAAAAAGAATACTCCGAGAATGACGCAAATTTCTCTCGTAGATATACTTATCTTAAAAATAAGATATACATTTCAAAATTAGATGTGCAAACACTATATATTTTTTTTTTCAAAAACCATATATTCAATTAAAATGTTTCGTTAATTGTTGGAACTGTTTATTTCCATTAGATAAGAGAGATAAGAAAGACGATTTCTTTTTATTTTTATTTTAGAATTGGCATATTTCAAATTTCAAATTTATTTTCTCCTGTGAGTTGATTAGATTTTGTTATTACACTGATCCGAGATATGTTTTCCATCGTTGATCCAAACTGACCTACAGGGACAAACAGCTCTGTCAACAAAAAGAGCATATTGTAAATTATATAGTAGATAATCAAACAGCAGAGATTTGTATAATTTTATCTTTCTTCATAGATGTAAATGAAAGATTATTCTTTTTATTTATAGATATTTGAAAAATACACTTGTAAATATCATGGAATTTAAGCGCATTTAATATTCTAAAAGTGATCAGTAATGTAACACTAGTTGATAGCCATGTATAATCTGTTTTGTTTTGCTTTTTGTTTTATTTTGTTTTATTGTTTTCATATTCATTTGCTTGTTTGTTTTTAATCATCAGACATTTTGCTGTGTTGTATACCATGAAATCGATACAATGTTGAATGTAAAAAAATATCTTCTTTTAATTGTGGCAGAATATGCTATTAAATAATGAAATTTTGAGAGTATATTGACAAAGAATTTAGGCATACGAAACGAAATGATTATTTTATTTTGTTTTGCTATATTCGTTCTATTAACCTATTCGAAAGTATGTATGCATATCATTGTTGACATTTTCTTTCTTTTGTTTTCTTTTTTTTTTTTTTTTTTTTTTTTGAGAATCCGACATGTTGGAATACCACATGCAAGTTGTAAAGTGGGAAGGTCTTGGTCAAAAGCAAGATGTAAGCCATGAAGTGTTTGGTCCAATATGTCCTCGAAAGACATATTTGATCAATCACGTCCTGCGTTAAATTTCGGATGATGTGTTAAGCAAATATAACGTATTTTAGTGGACGACTTAAAAATACATTAACATCAATGATAGCGCAGGTATGTTAAGTCAGCACACAGATCATTATTCGGCAAATTCACACCTTTTGGTAAAAATTTAACATTGATAATTAAATCAAAAAGCCAAGAATAAAACATTTACTCTAATTATTTATTGTATAGGCGTTAATAAGTCTTTGGCTAAAAGAAATTCTCCATTACAACGTCATCATGTGACATATATAAATAGAAAATATGCCGTAATGAAAATTGAAAAGCTTAACACAACCCCAGGAATAATTCAATTCTGTTTGTAGAAATATTTATGTAAAAGCATCCTTTGACCAGGAAAAATACTGCTAGAATCATCTTCTCCAATCACAGAGATTATTCCATAATTTCGCATGAAACATTACCAATTGTTTTTTACATTCTGTACATAAGATCGAAGAAATTTCATCAATTCATGTTAACCACACGATTCCAGCAGTACCTTATAGAAAAAATAGAACACAAACTCTCGATATCGACAAAAAATACTTTTCAAAGTTTGCGACATAGTGTTGAACTTTTGTTTCTTTGTTTTTAAGAACGAAAGGGAAAATGCTGATCGGATTATAAGACACTGCCTGTCTTCATTACAAGATACAAAATGATGAAAATAAATCTGCAATTCTGATTCTTAAACTCTAATTCCTTATGAAACACACGTGATATATTAACCTATATGCTTTGAACTCCCATTTTATATTTTATATTATATTACATGTATTCTCGTTCCGTCTCATTTTCATTAGGCGATTATTTGTTCGACAGCTATGACGTCATGAGTTAGGTATTAAACCCCATTGACAAATACCATCCAAAAATAACAAGATTTTGTTTATATTTTTGTTTTGCATGTTTTCATTGATTTTGAGGACTTGAAATGAATTTATACGTGTAAATATTAAGAAATCATTATCAAGCGGAAAGGTTGGACAAGTTTGGATAGTACAGGCTCTAATAAGGCACCCCATTTTTGAACTGACTAAAAAAAAAAAAAAAAACAAGTAAAACAAAAGCTGTATTATAACTACGTAAATCGTCGAGCTTAGATGTTCAATCAATATTCTTATTTCAACTTAAAAAAATCAATATTCTTTGGTCAATAATCTGAGTTAAAATTCCCCTTAAATGTATATTGGATTAGACAGGTTTAAAAGTTTTAGCATTGAAACAGGCTATAGAAAACTAAATATGAACAAAAAATCATTATAGCTCAGTTAAAATATATAGATATTATAATTTGTAGAAGTCTCTTAACCTTGTTTTCGCAAAATTAAACCCGTAAGGTTCATGGCTATATAGTATATTAGAACGTATAATTCTTTATAAGCCTAAAACATATGCCGCTTACAAATACATAAACTTTATGACTGTTTACATGTAGATCTCAGTTGTTCTCATTTTTGTATGATGGCTTCAATTTTTTTTTGACACCATGAAAAATTTCTTATTTTAATTGAAAATCAATTTGATTTTATTTTACCTTGTCAATTCGTGTTTTGTTTGTTTGCTTGTTTAACACACGGTTGCGACCTTTTCTATCATATTGAGACGCCACCACTTGCCGGTGCAGGGCTGCAGATTTAGACCTGTATTCGGCACTTACGACCCTTGAGCAATAACGGTTTTATCCGAACGACCGGTCTCCACGTCAAACTGTGGATTTACTCCGCGCCCCTACACCAAACGCTCTAACCACTTCGCTACACGTGCGACCCTTATCAATGCACAGCAAATGCATAATAAAAGATTGTTATGCTTACATTTGTTCCTGCAAACCCAATTGCAGAACATTTCATTGTGAAAATTGTTTGCATTTCCTCCGCAGCATCCGTAGATAAACTTACGGCATTTCCCTGTTCTAATGTCGTGATAATATCGGAGACAGAAGCCATTGCACCGACCGCGATCCATAGGTAAACGACAAGCTGACTTTCCTAAATTGACAAGAAAATGAATTATAATGAAAACGTTTCATTCGACATTTTATTATAATATACATCATATATTTCAAAATTATTACTGATGGAAAATATGTTCATGCAGTAACTTTATATTTCTTTGTGAATTCGTAACTTTTCAAGATGTTGAAAGTATAATGATGTGTTAAGTTAATATTATACTCAAGGCATTATAGAGTATTTGATCTTTCTTTCTAGAAAGTCTTCATATTTGAGTTTAACTGTACTTTCCGGAATAGCATCGATTTCGTTTTGGTAAAAAAGTATTTCCAATTATGTATTTTATTATAATACGCATGCGCACTATTGCCTACCTGAGGGTCCAGGACGATATCCTCGTCCAATGACTGCAGCCTAAAATAAAGCAATGGCGTTATTTAAAATAAATAAGATGCTAAGTTCATAATTTCATTTCTGTATCGTTTCCTTTGATACTTATGTGTGCTCTGTTCTTTATACGAAAAACTATACCGGAATAGTTACTTATCCTCCATAGAAATGTTACATGCATGTACAACGAAAAATGAATCAGAAGCTTTGATCAAAAGGTAGGATATCTAATCACCACCACCCCCCTCCCCCGCACCCCCCCCCTAAAAAATCTTAATATAAGTTGATTGCTTGATTCTTTGTTGTTTAAGTCTCATTCAAATGTTTTTCACTCATATAGAGACGTCACGGAAAGCCGGTGAAGGGCATCAAATTTAGACCAATACTTTGCATTCAAGGTCATCGAGCAGTGATGGTTCCTTATCGTGCCAACGCCTACCGTAACACGGGACCTCCGTTTTTAAGGTCTCATCCTAAAGACCCGTGATTTTCAATTCTAATGCTGGGCGCTTGACCATGGAACAGTCACTATCGATGTAAAGTTCAAAAGACCATATCATCATATATTACAAAAAAGATGGTATATAAAATCTAATCGATTTTTTAAGTTTGTTTCAACTAACAGAACCGTGGAACTTAAAGGTATTTTTCCAAAATAGAAATGTGACTCTTTAAACACTTGTTTGAAACGAAATTCTATTAACCTAATCAGCTACTCAGGGAAGTAAACATGCGCATTCACCTATTACTGATTATACCACTTACAATGTGCATTTTGCACCACAAAGACAGTTAATATATGAAAAATCGGGAGGGTTTTAAGGACTGAAAGTTGATTTGGTGTATAGTTCGTTTTATTCGTTAAACCAGTTAAATCATCTCGTTAGATCAGATTCAGTGTAAATTTTACCGACTTTTAATTTGTGTATAGCTCATTTTCTGCGATCAATAGATAGGATCATATCACTTTTCATCAGCAAAAATATCCTAATACAGTAAAAAAGTGATACAATGAACCTGTTTTACTCTTCTCTTTAAACTATCTGTGTACGTCTCACTATGTGTATTGAATAAAAAAGAGTAAAACACTTATTATCCTTAAAAATTATCCTTTCAAATCTAAAAAGAACTTCCAAAAATTAATCTGTATCATTTTTTTTTTTCACTAGCTTTATAACTTATTTTGAACAGGTAGCTTGGAGGTAATATTTTTCCCTCTCGAGGAAAAAAAAGAAAGAAAGGGCATCAGGTAATTTCCTATTGAGCTTTTAAAACTGAAATCTATTATTTATATATTTTTCTTAAATACACAAAAAATGACAAACTTTCAAAGGTTTATCCCTCATTTTGGCGTATTATATGACAGGTAATTTTGATTGTCAACTTATTTATAAAATGTCCTTTTTAGAACCCACATCTTATGTTTATATATTGTTAAATACAGATTGTTGGGGGTTAGCTCCAAACAATGAGCGGGTAAAGGATGATTATTTAAAAAAAAAAAATGAGTTCCAAGATCTGAAATTTAAAAAAAAAGTTAGCGTCATATGAATTCTTTCGTCTGAAACCTTGAAGCAAGTGCAGCCAACATGAAAGAGTATATGTTAAAGGAGCAATAAAGCGTTGTTCATCGATAGACAGCGAGAAAATCACCAAAGAAAGAATCTTTTTAATATATAAATCAAATTTGTTGATTTTCCGCGGATTAAAAATATTTTATATCTTTTTATCTTTTAAAAATGAAAAAAAAAAATATTTACTTACGATTACAATGGTCAATACCAAGCCAAGTAAGAACATTCGTTCCATAATTGCTTTTTCATATTGCATTAATAAGCGTACTTTATATACTTTTCAGCGAACGAGAATCACGTGATTTTAACACGTGTTCTACGTGATAATTTTTTTTTTTCAACGATGATTAGTAATCAATGTTTCACGATTTTGCTACTGTACCTACAGCTACAACATACAAATGTGAGTATATGTAGAGTAACTCCTTAGTGTAGTGATATCATTTGTTATTCGTTTGATTTAACTATTGATAATTATCCTCTGGAAGTAAACCCGCTATTCCTCTATCTCCAAAAATGGAATGAAACAGAAGGAATTATACATCCTTGCCCATTTATGTGTTTGAGTTTTAATGAAACATTTAAACCTAGCAGCTTTTTTTTATCATTCTTTGTGTCAATATAGCAAAGAGAAATTATTTGAATGCATTTGAAGAAGAAATAAATGTGCATTTCTTAGCTGATTTACTGGTTTTCGCTTTTAGGTTTGTTTGTTTTTTTGTTTTTTTTTTTCAGATTTAAAGCATAAAATTAATTTCAAAATTGTAATTACCAAGCTTAAATAGACAAAGATGGTTTTCACCAATCACCTTAAAGGGATCCCACAAACATAGTTCAGGTCACGGTAGCCTAGTGCTTGAGGGTTTGTGTCGTAATCGGGAGGCCCTGGCTCGATTCTCGTTCCGCATCAAACCTTAGACGTAAACATAGTTAGTGATTGTTCCTTCGCCAACCGCTCGGCACTGGAAATGAAAGTCACCGGTCCTTCAAATGAAACCTTAAAAACCGATGTTCCTTGTCACGGTAGACGTTGGCACGATTAAAAAAAAACTCTCACTGCTTAAAGGCCCCCGAGTAGAGGTGTAAATTTGAAGTCCTTCACAGGTATCTGGTGACATATCATATATCGCCCGATACTAGTGTCGGCCGATTATGTTTTTCAGCCGACGAAAGGAGAAAAATTTGTTCGCCCGACCATTGGCTTAAATGTGACTCAGGTATAATAGGCAATCGAATTTCAAAAGAGAGAGTTATGACCTAGACGTGAGAATTTGAAAGGTTTGTTAAACACACAGCGCCTACTATCCTTCTATCTACGTCCCCATTTTATTTTCTGAGAAGTGTGTTGAATCAGAACATTCGAACTATTTGGGGAAGACTGATGTACATGCAGGGTCAAGTGATTTTTATTTACAAGCCAAACACGTGCGCACTTCATGTGAAAATATAGGTTGCGACTGACTTTGATATCAAAACAGATTTATTAAAGATTTAAAGTTTTCATTGTACTATTAAAATTAACATTTCAGTATCATAATTTTAAATTATAAAACAAGATGTGTTTGTGAAAAACTGATGCCCCCGTTTGGCAACTGATAGCAAAGGTTTAACTTTCTCAAATGCAAATAAAATATTTGGTACGCAAAGTATGAAAAACCTAGCAGCAACCATTGAATAGATATGGAAAAGATTAAGACAAAGGTTAAAGTTTTCCCAAAAAAGGTCAAAATCCAATGTCAAAGGGTCAAAGTTGTTGGTATCCAAAGAAAGATGATCTTGTCACAAGTATTACATATGTGAAGTATGAAAGCCCAAGGACCAACCCTTCAAAAGTTATGGCCAAGGTTAACGTTTTCCAAAAGTAGGTCAAACTCCAAGGTCAAAGGGTCAACGTTATGAAAGCCCTGCCAAAGTTAAAGTTTTCCAAAAATAGGTCAAACTCCTAGGTCAAGGTCAAAGGGTCGTTGTTGGTATCCTAAGAAAGGACTTGGCACAAGGATTGTACATGTGAAGTATGAAAGCCCTAGCACCAATTGCTCAAAAGTTATTGCCAATGTTAAAGTTTTTCAACAGTAGGTCAAACTCCTAGGTCAGGGTCAAAAGGTCAAAGTTGTTGGTATCCAAAGGAAGGTCTTGTCAAAAGAATTATACATGTGAAGTATGAAAGCCCAAGCATTAATTTTTCAAAAGTTATTGTCAAGGATAAAGTTTGGTAAAATTTTGCAAAAATGGGTCAAACTCCAAGGTCAAAAAATCAAATAGTGGTGGTAAATAAAGAAAGGTCTTGTCACAAGAAATACACATGTGAAATATGAAAGCCATAGTTCCAACCAATCAAAAGGTATGGTCAATGTTAAAGTTTTCGCGGACAAACAGACAAACAAACAACAGATAGACAGATATAGCAAAAACTATATACCCCCGAATCTTCGATACGGGGGCATAAAAAAATCTAGCATTACAGAATACAAAATTCTGCATATACTGTACTTATAACCACATATTCATGATTTAAATCTTTAATAGAAATATAGATCAAATGTCTATTTGAGCCAGCTTCTCCAAATATAAATCAGGGGCTTCAAAGGTAGTAGTAAATTTAATGAATCATCAAATTATAGAGAATTAGAAACGTCACTTAAATGTACAAGTATATCATTGCATGAAAATATTAGAATACATGTTTGTTTCTCGGAGACATCCACGCACCTGTTTTTTTTTTTTTTTAATTGTTACAATTCTTTACGTCAAAAAACGTCTGGTAGTACCTTATTTCGCACGAATCGCCTTTTCACCTTATATTTAATTAAATTCTTGGATTGGATTCTTCGGTTATTTCGTGTTGTACATAATTTAACGACAAGTCTATAACATTTTGATCAAATAGAATACCCAAGTCTAATTTAAAGATTAATCTTTCTTTAAAGTGGCAGATTTCAATTGATATGTAAAGGATTTAAAACTGTATTACGGTTTTTTATTGGTCACTTCCATTTTAGTGTGTGTAATAATCTTATATGAAATATGAAACTCGTGATATTTGGCATTCAAATCCTAGGATGTATTCAGAGAATAAAGAGATCGTCTGAGTTATATGAAATTGCATGTCCTCCTTATATATGTAATAGAATTTGCTTGTCGGCATTTATAAGTTATTTTAGATATATAAATACCTGTGCGTTCTTCAGTAATACGCTTAAGAAACAGTGGATATGGAACGTCTATATATTTTAGATCGAGAGTGCCGACAACGTCTCCGACGTCATCGAACAATCCGAAAGTCAGAGTTATCTTTCTTTACATTTTGTATACGCACTAGGTAAATGGGTAAAATGACGGTAAATAAAATCTAGAGAAGGCGTCATCAGATTTCAAAACAAATGATATATTTGGCACTTGTAGACTAATCTCTATTATACATACAATATCTTGAAAAATATTAAAAAGTAA